TAATTAAGAATAAAAATTGGGGGGGCGGGGGGGTCCTTAAAGACAAATGTTCAGGTGGTCTAATTTTAGAGAAAATTAGACAAAGTATCATTAAAAGGCAAAAATTCTTGAAAAAATAACTGCCATTTATTATTTACTTAAAAATAATAATATAAACACTGAATCAGTTTTAAAAAAGTTAAAATGCTATTAACATTTATGTGAAAACCAAACAAGTATTTATTGCGTATTATGTATTTTGGCTTTTTTTATGAATAGGCACAGTCAGACATGTTTTTACACATGTACTGTATATGATAAATTTAAAATGATTGTTAAATCATCAATACCAAGAAATTGTCTTTAGAAAGAAGAAATTGTTAGTTGCTAATATGTGTGTGTGTTTATAAATTTCTTACTAAGATATTCCACAAAAAAAATTCTCAAAAACATCTAAGAGCTTCATTAAGCCTCCTGAACAATAAAACTGCTCTGCTCTCTTCAGAAAGGGGAAATTGGAGTGGGAAGGTTTTGTTGTTTTATGAGTGAAATCAGGATTAATTAATGCAGTGATATAAAGGGGTCGCCCATAAAGAGGGGCTGCACAAAAACGGCAACAGATGCTTAAATGGATCTTTCTTTTTTTTCACCTCCTCCCATTTCTCTCTCTCTTTCAGACTGGAATCACATGGCCAGAGTGTGGGATAAGAACGAACTCAACAGCAGGATCTAAAATGCCAATCTCTGGAACATAGAGGAAGCTTTTGTTTGAGGAAAGGACGATAACAATTCCAAAAAAGGAGCTGGACTCTTCAGAGAGCGTTTTTGTATACCAGCACACTTATTCAAAAGCCTACGACACACAAACAGACACACCATGCTGCAGCAAATCCTAGCTGACATGTACATCGACGCTGATGTACTAGAGGCCTTGAATGAGGAACAGAAGAAGATCCTGTTCTTCAAAATGAGAGAGGAACAAGTCAGGCGCTGGAAGGAGCGGGAAGAGAAGGAGGGCAAGGAGGGGATAAAAAAAGAAAAGTGCCGGCAAAAGAGAGGTATGAACTCACACCCTTTCTAAAAATACAGCCACGTCTGTCATTCTGTGAGCATCAACAGGAGACAAAAACTATTTACAGAACAGTCAAATGCTTTTGTGTCTCTGACACGCCAGTGTTTTTGCACATTCTTAAATGTGGGACATCATAATTGAACCTCATAGGCCCATTTGGTATAAATTGAGCACATGAGGTGAAATTTTTACTTTTTTCCAGATGACGCATTTCAATAGTTGAATTGAACCCAATGAAGAAGCTATTGAATAGTGATTGTAGTCAGCAGTGCAGTGAATACTGTCAGCTACATTCACACAGCAGCAGTGCTGAATATAATTCAGTTCTGTTAGAAGAGAGAAAAATTGTGTTCACACACACTTCAGCTATTAAAGAGCGTGACAATCACTTAATATAATCGAAATAACTACCAGTTTCAAAAGACACGTTTTTTTTTTTAATATTTGTATTATTTTTTTTTTCTAAATAATACCAATAATAACTTCCCAATCTTCCTGTTTCAATTATATCTGCATTTTATTTTTTCTATTTTATTACTGATGTGGGTACATTAAGATTTTTCAATATTTTGTATTATAGTATGTAATGTGTTTAAAATGCTGAAAAATTCTACTGAAAACAAAAGACTGATGTTTTTTCTAGAAAAAAGTTACCATCTAGTTTCGTTGAGGCTCTGGCAATAATATTGAAATGTTAATTTCAGCTAATATAGAGACAAATTTACATAAACGGAGCTGAAAAGAAAGACAACGATTTACACTTAAAAATTTGGGGTCAGTATAAGATTTATTTTCACTTATGCTCACAGAGGCTTCATTGATTTGATTTTAAAAATACAGTAAAAACAGTAATAATATTGTGAAATAATGCTGAATTTTCAGCATCATTACTCCAGTCTTCAGAGTCACATGATCCTTCAGAATTCATTCTAATATGCTGATTTCCTGCTCAAGAAACATTTCTTATTGTAAATGCTGAAAACGGTTGTGCTGCTAAACATTTTTTTGTGGAAACTTGATACTTTTTAAAGATTATATAATGAAATGAAAGTCCAAAAGAGCAGTGTTTATTTGATGTAACATTATAACATTATAAATGTCTTTACTGTGACTGAATATTAATATATTTCAAAAACAAAATCTTACTGACCACAAATTTTAAACTGTAGTGTAATTTACATACTGTCAGTGTTATTTCAACCCATTTAGAGCCTGCAAGTAAATTCACCCCTTGCTGTGTGAATATAGCCAATCAGAGAATGTTTCACTTTTTTTGAATGTCTGTGCAGATCCTTTTACGCAGTTCCAGGAAACTATATGAAAGCAGCGTGTTACAAGGAACTCAAAATAAATCTTTTAACACGCCCTCGTTGATGTAACAAGAAAATCAATACCTGTGCAAAATGTTCTAACGTCATTTCAAGGTGAGCACATATCTTTGAGGCCAAAGGAAATTAAGTGACCTGAAAGTGCGAAAGAGGCACATAACAATACCGCACAGACATGCTACAGCTGCAAGGGGCAAAACCAGAGCCAAATTCCAGCTTTTCAACACTGACCTTGCAACACAATACCCACATGCAAATCACCTTGCAGTAGATTACTGTTTATCTCCATAGCATCAGCATTTGTAAAGAGTTGAGCCTTGTTTGGGATCTAACCCCTGTAATGCCGTAGGGGCCCTGCTGCTGTAAATTCCTCTAAACATTTCAGGGCTTTCTTACACTAATGCCTGAGGATGTGCTTTGCCAGAGATTTGGGCATGGAATGTTCTCAGGAAGCACAACATGCAAAACAAAGCAACCATAAAAGAGCCATTTTTGGTTGCCCAAAGAACCTTTCAGTGAACAGTCCTTAAAAGAAACATTTTTCCTTAGTGTAAACAGCATTTTAAACATCTAAAAGCATTTTGTGGAATTAAAAGGTTGCCTTGATTATAAAGTTTCTTCATGGAAGCATCAATGCCTTTATTTTTAAATGAAAATTCTGAAAACTTATTCACCCTTAGGCCATCCAAGATATAGATGAGTTAGCTTCTTCATCAGAACAGATTTGGAGAAATTTAGCATTACATCACTTGCTCTGCAGTGAATGGGTGCCATCAGAATGAGAGTTCAAACAGCCGATAAAAACATCACCATAATCCACAAATAATTCACATGACTCCAGTCCATCAGTTAACATCTTTGAAGTGAAAAGCTGCATGTTTTTATTATTAAAATGTTTTTAACTTTAATTATTGCTTCTGGTTACAACAACAGTCCTCTATCCATAAAATTGCTTTCTCCAGTGAAAAAGCATATCTCATTTGAATCAGAAGAAAAATATGCACAGACCAGGCAGTGTTTACAACAAACATATATGTTGTAAACATATATGTGAATTTTGATGTGAGAAGATGGATGGATTTTTTCTACTGAAGAAAGCATTAGTATGAATTATGAACTATTTTGGCTAGTAGCAATGGGTAAAAGTTAAAATGCCTTAATGATGGATTTGTTTCTTACAAACACACAGCTTTTCACTTCACAATAAGTTAATTGATGGACTGGAGTCGTGTGGATTATTTATGGATTATTGTGATGTTTTTATCAACTTTAATTCTGACTAAGCAAGTGATGCAATGCAAAATTTCTTCAAATCGGTTCCAATGAAGAAACAAACTCATCTATACAATACCTTGGATAGCCTAAAGGTGAGTACATTTTGGGTGAACTAATCCTTCAAAAATGAAAGCTCTTTAGAGAATAGAGAAAAAACCCCCAACCCAATAGTGTGGTTTGCAAATGACAGTATGAGGAAAAAACTGAGAACAAGAGTTGTGTAACAGAGCATAAATATACATGGAATTTAAAAACATTAGATGGTCGTAACATCTATGACAACTTGAACCCATGTTCCCAGGCTGGGAAAAAACATTCAGTTCATGTGATGACGACGATGGAATCCAACCGAACAGGAATTGACATTTACAACAGCATTTGCTCAAGGACATAAATGTTCTTGTATGTGTTCCTATCAATAGTGCTGGTATTCTCCCCCGGCTTCTGTTTCTCATCAAAAAAGCGTCAAGTCACATGAGCCACATGTAACACAGGGCCTTTGTGAAGTATGTTTAGCTGCTGCACAAACGGGCACAAAAGAGAGCTGCTGTGTCACAGTCATGCAGTTTGACTCTTATTCATTTACTTCAGTTTGACACGAACACAGTCAAATCTCTTTTGATTTTCTCTCCACGGACACACAACTGACATGGTTCACAGCTCATGTCAATGGCAGCATTGTGAACGCAGCTGTGTCCGTCTTTCTCTCGCTCAGCACTTTGTGGCCGGTTTCAGTCGCCTTAGCTGATACTGTGTGTCAGCTCTGCGTCAGGGGAAGTCGAGATAAAGTACACAGACAAACAAAACTATGAGCTATCGCTGGAACTTTGTACCCGAGACTCTTTTGCAGCCCACTGGAGAGAAAAATCACCAATGAGATCTCTGTAATAAGTCACTTGTTTCTCTTTGACAGCAATCAGATTAAATGGATAGCAAATGGAGACTTAGAGGTGTGGTCAGACTTGACATAAACCTGGGGAATTACTATAGACACCTAATGCGTCAATGAATATGAGCAACAGGATGTGGTCACACTCTCTGTCTTTGTAGCATGACCCATCCTATTTTTCCCAGATGTGTCCTCTAAAGGTGCAAATCATTTAGTAGCACACATTAGTGTAGCAAATCCTCAGCCAAAGGAATGAGTCTGTGAGCTAAACCGACTAAATTAAACACTTTACAATAAGTCCTGGTAACATTTGTTAAGGTGTTATGAACTAACAATGAACAAAATTTTTGACATTTAACAAGTTAAACATATAACACATATAACAAATATTATATCTGCATTTATGATTCCAAATGCATTATCTAATGTAAATAACATAGGTTAACATTCCTCTTTTTCTTTTTAAAGCACAACATTGTATCCCTAGTTTTTGATACATAATGGATTATACATATTAATTTCAAATATCAACATTTACAATCTACACTACTGACAAATTAAAGCATGCAGCTTGTCTTAAACTCGTTTACATACTTTAAAGTCAAAGATATCAACATGAACTCAAACATCTATTATCAAATTCCATATAAAACAAAATAATCTGAGGTGTTAACCACATCTTCACTGCTCTACACATGTGGTTCCCAGCATTTTAACTCCAAGGCACTGTCCACAACAACAGTTAAAGACCTACAACCCTTCCAGCTGTTCATGATTTACTGGATAAATATTCAGGATAAGGATTTAAAAATATTTTTTTATTCACAATATCTACCTGATATACTTGAACTATTTTGTAGAGCTTGGCATATAAAAAATGTATGTTCATGAAATGCATCCAAATTATCATGGAATTACAGGATTTTAGTAATTTATATGACTGATTCAGATGTAGAAATCACACTTTTATAATTAGGCTTCCTTATACAGCCAGGTTTTTCCAAGACTGGTTCTTCAAGAGAAAACTGATTTTTGATAAGAATACTATTAGAAGTTTGCTGAGGGCCCCTGGTTGAGAACCGCTGGCCTGTTCTCATATGGCGCTTTTCCACTGCGTGGTACGACTCGGCTCGGTTTGCGTTTCCACTGCTGTTCAGTAACCTTACCGCTTTAGAGTGGGCGGGATTAACCACGTCTTTATAGTTGCGCCGCCTCTATTGCCGCGACTCCTGAAAAACTTTTTCATTCTGCGTCGCCCCAACAAGCTCTCGCTGGATCCGTTCCTCTGCTATCAACGAGAGGAACGTCTGTACTTCTTCAACAGACAACGAAACAGCCACTTTTTGGTTGTTAAAAAAGGTGCGCTCGTTCAAAACAGTTGCGTTCGAGCCTTCGCTGGCTGTGCTGATTTAAATATAGCGGTTCTGTTGTGTTTGTGGCGCAAGTTCAGTGACGCAGGTAGGCCAATCCGTGATCAGCAAAGTTTACACGTCATGTTTTGGTAATGGTACGGTTCGCTTGGAACCTCGACTGAGGCGGTACTAAAAAAAGTACCAGGTACCAGGTACTGTGCCCAGTGGAAAACCCCCCAAAAGTTAACCATACCGGGCGGCCGTACCATGCAGTGGAAAGCGCCATTAATGTATCTCCACAATCATCTCATTTGTGCTTATTTTAAGGAACTTAAATGGATAGTTCACCCAAAAATGTAAATTCTGGACTGGAACAACATGAGGGCGAGTAAACGATGCCAGAATTTTCATTTTGGGTGAACTGTACCTTTAAGGAGTAACGAGCTACTTCCAAACTAGTCTCCTATGGGATGGTATGAACACAGATTTTTGAGGGCTTGATGTCTTTTATTTGTTGTTTTATTACATAAAAGGAGGGAGAAGCTCAACCATTGACAAGTTGCGTTCCTATACAAGGTGCAGCTGGCCAGATTCAGCCCTGGGCTGCTCAATGGGGTCATAATGCTTTAAGAAACACTCCTCAAAAAACACATTCATCACCATGCAGTTACATCACCTTTCAAACACACACACACACACACACACACACACACACACACACACACACACACGTCTTAAGCAGCATATGTGGGTGAACCATGTGACCTTGGCAACAAGCACTACACAGACAGATTCGTGAAAAAAATACCTCCGAAAGATGTGCCAGTTTTATATTATGTAACCTTTGTAGTTTAAGCAACACATACTGAACATTTCTGAGATTTCTAACAGAAACCTTTAATTCATTCCTGCATGGAAATGAAGCCATTTGATCTGCCTCGTCGTAGCGTGGCTTCTGTCGACCTGGAGAACCGGTTCTTTACGTAACCTTTTCTGCTGGAAGTGAGGGGTGTTAGGTTTTCCCTTACGTGCAAGCAACAAAAATAATAAAAATGGAAAAGAAAAACAGATCAACCCCTGCTGGAACAAACGGTTTCACGCTGGGAAATTCTTGACATTTTTTCCATAATTCCCACTGATATTCATGGCATTATGATGTACTTTTAGATTATTTATCTGAGGTGAACTGCAATCCCCTACAATACGCACAAGGATCCTCTTTGTCGCCTCTTACGTAAGCCCCACATATCAGTTGATCACACTTCATTTCATGCCTTCAAACATTTGGTGTAATCGGAGAAGGCTAAATCACACTGAAATAATGATGAGGGTGACTGGGAAGGATTCACAGCTTTTGTGGGCCGGTGCAAGTGTCTGTAAGGTGATAATACAAGCCTGATGACCGCTGGCATTGACATCTAGACACTGAATGACATTTACACGCTTCTAAACCAGAGCAGGCGACCTACAGTATGCAGGATCAATTTCACTCAATGTCACAGCGCCATCTGTCGGTGAAAAGGACACATTACAGAGCGTAATATTGGAAATCAAGGGTTCAGGGTTTGGCTGGTTAACGTCTGTAAACAAAAAAATATGCGGCAGAATACAATTTTAAAAGGCTGTCAATGGTGAAATATGCTTTATGCCAAACTGCCAAACCTCATCCCCTTGGGTTGAGTAACGAAGATTTAAATAACACGAAATGTTCATAAAGCAAGTAAAAGGGCTAATCATGAGCTGTTGCATCTGTTGTGCCTCTTTGTCTTTGTAACTTAATTGTTTCTGTGTTGCTCATTTATTTATTGTTTCTCAGATATTGATTTTCTTGGCATGTTTATCGTTTTGTCCTCAGGCCCTTGTAAAAGTGTGAGCTGGTTGCTGGGCAGTGATGGTGATGTGCATGTGTGTATTATCGGAGAATCAGATGAGCTCAAATCTCCAAAACTCATCCTGTCCGAGCTGAGAAACAAGACAGCGGCCAACCCTAATGCTATCAACAGGTACAACACCCTCAATAATAGAAATACATGGTAACACTTTAGGCCAATTCTCACTATTAACTAGCTGCTTATTAGCATGCCTATTAGTAACATATTGGCTGTTTATTAGTGCTTATAAAGCACATATTCTGCATGACCATATTCTACATCCGTAATCCTACCCAATACCTAAATTTAACAACTACCTTACTAACTATTAATAAGCAGCAAATTAGGAGCTTGTTGAGGCAAAAGTTGTAGTTAATAGTTTTGTTAAGAATTGTACCTTAAAATAAAGTGTGACCAAATACACTATGGAAGGGATTATTGTTGAGTACACATTATGGACATTAAATATTGATTTAAGTTTATATGTTTTTAAAAAGGACATATTTGATTGCTCAAAATTGACAGTGATACATTTATAAAGTTTATATTCATCATCACTACTCAAAGGCTCCTAGAATGTTACTTATAAAAATCAGCAATAAATTATATTTCAAAATACCTTAAATAGACAAATGTTATTTTAATTTGTAATAATATTCATACTATTACTGTTTTCTGTATTTTGAACAAATAAATGCAGCTTTGGTGAGCATAAGAGACATTTAAAAACATACAAAAAATTACCAACCCTAAACTTTTGAATGGTAGAGTGCATAGAACATTTAGTTGCCTTTTAATGGTCATTGTACTAAAATATCTGAATACCGCAATAGACTTGGAATTAAATATTCCAGAGAGCCATATAATAAATCAATAACAGCAGGCAAAATACATACTAACTAACAGCAGATAAAAAATACACTGTCACTATGCCTCAAATACAAACATTATTGGAATTAATAGCAATCTAACTATTCTCAAACCACAGAGCTAAATGTGTTTTTCTTTGTTCACAGAGCAAAAGCAGAAACTGTAAAGAGCAGCCTGACCAAACCCAGCAGAGCGCAACAAACCAGTACAGAACCAGGGATCCAGCTACTGCTTAAGGTGTGTGGGGGTAAAGAAAGAAAGAAAGAAAGAAAGAAAGATTAGTTGGGGTAGTTAGAGCACTTCTTATGATTCTGCTTCAGAAATGATGTTGTATTAGACATGAAGTGGCAACCCAGCACAGTTCCAAACTATCACTCAAAAATGTCATTAAAAAATAATAAAATGGCCATGAAGGCACATAGGCCCGAGAAAAAGATAAATTGTTACATTTAAGTTTTACATTAATTAATTTAGCAGATGTTTTTAACTAAAGCAAATTACAAATGAGGAATACAACATGCAATTCATCTTAAGGAGGCATAGGCTGAATAGTAAGAACTTTGTGAATGATATTTGCCTTTTACCTTTGGTGCGGTTTTTTTTTTCAGGATAAGGCAATGCCACATAACTTCTGCATCTTGGTATATAATATGACTCACTTCTATGAATTACAGTACATAAAAAGTGTGTGACCAAATCAGAACAAAACGGTAAAAAAAAAAAAAAAAGGGTTGCACAATTTTGGGTCACTAAGCATGAGATGAGATTCACAGGGTTGGAGGATAAAGAATATCATTAGCTTGGTATAAAAACAGACCTCAATGGAAAGTCCACTATGATAGAACGTGTGCGTGAGTGTGCATGTGTTTAAATGAGTGTGCTTTCATGTGAATTGACATATGAATGTGCATATGTGTGAGAAGATGCACATGTATATGTGTGTGACTTAAATAATAAGAGCAGCAATAATAATAAGACGATGGGTGTGTGTAGTTGGACAGGCCAGGCTCCCCTGAGCAGATGGTTTAGAGCCTGGGCAGAGAATTAAACGGTATCAGATGGCATCAGTGCCACGTTGCCAGAGGGAATACACACACACACACTTCCGTCTCTCTTTGTGTCTCTGAATTTGTCAACTCTGATTTTATAAGTGTTTACAAATGAGTTTCATTCAATCTGCCACAGAAACCAGAGGAGCTCAGCGATTCTACGACAGTCTCAGATGAGTCCAAGCAGGACAGCGGTTCTGATCAGTCAGCTGACGACACCAGGGGCCAAACAGATGACTCAGATTCGGGCAGCGCGGAGGACGACACGGGCCTTTACAGATCACATATGAGCAACACAGAGACAACAGTAGCAGACAGACTCAGAGAGCTTCAACTGCACAGAGCAATGAAAGAGCAGCTGTCAATCAACAACAAGACACACCCACTGGACACACCCACACCAGACAAAGGTAAGAGCACAGAAGTAGAATCTCAATTAATCCCAGGTATTCTTTCAACAATATACTACAAAAACAGCACAGAACAAGAAACAATGAGAAACATTTATTTAGCATTAATTAATAATTATTATTAATTGCATTTGTTTATCTATTCATGCCTAATAGTAGCCTAATTATTTTGTTTAAACATGTCTAAAGTTTGTCATTTTGCAATTTTCTAGCAATGAACATTGGTTAAACATCAAAATAAAATAAATAAACATTTCTAAAATTAAAACTAATATATGTAATATATATATATATATATATATACACACACACAAAATATTATATGTTCATATTTCTATATACAATTACAATTATATAAACACTATTATATAAATATTATAATATTACTTAACATTATTTACAATATATTATATTGTAACTAAGAAAGGTAAGAGCAGAAGTAGTATCTGAAATAATGAAATAAGGTGTTCTTTCAACAATATATTATAAAACATTACAGAACAAAAAAAGCACAAC